GTTCTCTATGAGAGTTCGATTGCCGTTCAAGCCCCGTTCCAATGTTATTATTCTACCTTTTGCTGTGCTGTGTTGCTTCTGCTTCTGCCTCTGTCGCTGATTGTTCCTTGCACTGCGGCAGCGACGCCGACAGCGGATTGCTTCCTGTTCGAATGCTTTTCTTATCAGTGTGCCTGCCCGCCCTGCCTCCGCCACACTATGCTATCGGTCAGGGTCGACGTCGGGGAGGTGCACAGCAGGTTGGCGCTCTTCTCTGCTCTGCTCTGCTCTGCTCTGCCTTTGCTCTCGTCCGTGTCCGGGTCCTGGTTCCTGTTGACAGATTGTATAATTGGCGTGGAATTGATTTGATTGCAGGCGCTCTTTGTGGCCTGCCTGTGCCATCGATCGATATGTATTATGCAAGCGATAATTGGTAATCGAATGGAAGGTCCATCTCGAAAAAGCTTTTTAAAGAGAGCAAAGGAATGGATGCAAACATCTGGATAGTAAGGAGAGATGTAAATTTCTTCAATTACATTTGGTACAGTTATTTTCTGGCTATAGATCTTTATTCTTGTTGGTCTCAAAGTACTGTTCCGAGTTAGTCCTTCGCATTTGCTTCTCGATAACTTGTTTAGTGATTATTCAAATTGCTTTTCAGTCTATCGCTTATCGCTTTTCTTTAACTAATCAGCCGGCCATATATTTTGGCAAAATTTTCGCAAATTCTTGTTCTACAGATAAGGATAGACCTACTTTCATTGAAAGTAACGCAATGAAAACATGTTATATTGTTCTATCGATGCTTATGAAGGCAAGGCTGATAATGTTCAAGGGGGAAAGATAATCATTCCATAATTTTAAGAGTGAATAATAGATGGGGTTCGCAGTGGTTTTGTGTCGTTAAGATAGTGGCATGTATTGGGCTCAACATTAATTTAATTGTTACAGTTAGATAGAGATACTTATAGATTTTTTTACTTCAAAAGCGCTACTACTGCAAGTAGCTGCTTTCCATTCAAGATTGTTTTCTTAAGCATACTATTCAAGTTCTTCTAGCCAACAGTTTTCCCTGGTAGTTCTATGATTAAGCATCTTTCAGTGGTAGGATACTAATGCATCTTGGAATTGCATTGCGTGTGTTCTGGCTCAAAAACTAAGCCTGAGACTACTGCATCCAACAAATTCCACGGAATTCCCCATTTATTGTAAGCGCCGTCTCCCTACGCAATACGGAATACACTCGTAATCCGGCTAATGGAATCCAAACATTCGACTGTGCCACAAGACTCTACTCGACGAATATGCAAAGCGGCCACCTGTTTTGGCTGAAATGATCTCCCCGCCATGTCGCCGCCTCAGCCATTGTTATGGCGGTGCTGGTGCTGGTGCTGCAGTGGGGTCCAAGTCCTCCTCCTGTCCACGTCCACGGCCATAAATTCGCATTCAAAACTCGTCTAAATCTAAACCGAAGCAACATGTGTGTTGTTCGAGAGTGAGTGAAAGAGTGAGTGAGTGCCGGCAAGAGCGTCGTCGGTGGACATGGCCGAAAAGGGATGGATGGTGGTATGGGGGGATGGAAGCTTTGGGGGGTGCCGTACCCCATAGCATACATATGTGTGTGAATAGCGAATAGCTGGCAAAATATTTGCACGACGCAGCCTCGCACACACACACACACACACACATAATCGGTATGGCGGAAAAGCTGGCTAACGGTGGGCGCAGAGGCTGCGGCAGAGCAGAGGAGGAGCGCGTGTGGGCGGTTGCGCAACGCCGACGCTTGCATTGAACTCGGAAGTAAACGCAATAGAAATAGAGAGAATATCCACACAGAAACCAGTTGTTGGCGACGAGACGCCATCGCCATGCGACGAGGAGGAACATGCAACATCAACATCATAACATATTCAAATCGCCAGCAGAGAGGCAGCGACACCGACACCGACAGCGCTGTAACCGACAACATAGCAGAGCAGCAGCAGCAGCAGAGCATTGGAGCTTTTACTCTCACGTGAAAACTGAATTTTATGCTGTTTTGTTTTGTTTTTATTGTTGCATCGCGTCACGAATTAAACTAAACAAACAGCGGAACACAGAAACCGAAAAGAAGATGGGGAAAAGCCCCCGACTAGAAGATGCTCTGGTTTCCTTCTGCACTCCATTCGCATCGTTCATTCAATCATTGCGATCAATCGGTAGCCACTTTATCGACTCCAAAAGTATGCTGCGGAAATTGTCAACGGAAGCGGAATCAAGAACAGACCATACTAAGAGGATCAAAGGGAGAATATTGCTGGTTGGCGTAGGGGTTGGTTCCTGTAGGGTTATTATGGGTCAGCTATTCCCAATAATCTACAAAGAGTTTCAGTGGATATTACAGCTAAAATATTGGAATGGATATGCTGGGTTATAACTGCCAATATTTCTCAGAAATCCCACACTATCTTCATTACGTTCCATATTTTGGCATCTGTGTATCGCGTAGTTCCGTAAACAATAGACTGTATTAGACTGTACTATTCTCACAAAAGCCCTATATTTAGGAATTCTAAAGTTACCTTTGCCATCAATTAATCGAACCCATAATCAAAAGCTATCTACCAGTTGCATGCCTCGTAGTCGTCTCCAAAGGCATTTGGTACTGCTACCTTTGTGCCGTGCCACACCGTACCCGGTGTCGTGCCACAGCGTACACCTTTCGATTGAGTAAACGTAAAGCCCCGATTTCTCGCTCGCCTTGTTCGCAAAAATAATGACATCAGCCAAAACGACAACAGCAACGAAGAGGCACCAACCAACCAACCAACCAACCAGCCAGCCAGCCAAAGCACCGAAGCAGGATGCGGCAGAAATTGGTTTGATTTGAGTTTTGGGCTCCGCCGCGCCGTTGTGTTGCGTTACGTTTTCGACTTCTCGACTTGAAAACAATCATCAGTCAACGTTTGTCCACAGCCTGCGTCGGACTGTGGCTGCTACCACTGCTGCCTGCTGCGCCTGACCTTCAATCAAAATTCGCTTCGAATTAGAATTGGCGCGCATTTGGTTTTGGCCATATGCAATTTTTTTCGTATTTGGGGCCAAGAGATAAGCTCCGGCAAACGGCAATCGGCAGCAGGCAGCAGCAGCGGCAGCGTCAGCGACAGCGGCGAAAAACAGCAAAATGTTTCAAGGCGAAAACGCAAACGCGGACGCCGCCGCAGCAGAATATCTTTTGCTTTGGCTGGCTGGCTGTCAGTCAGGCCAAGCAGTGCGTCGCATAAAATAGCACAGAGCAGCGCAGCGCGCACACGGCACACGGCCCACGAAACGAGGCCCAAAAGTACCTGGCACCACCAAGGCACAAAGATACAGCTACGGCTACGAGAGCCAGCCAGCGCCAACATCAGAGATACAGATATGAACGGAGCGAAGCGGCGGCAACTGAAATAAACAAAAATGTTGAACACAAAGCAGCCAGCTAGCAGCAGCAGTAGTGGATGAGGCAGAAGCAGAGAGACGGCAACTCTGTGCCTCGCTTTGTTGCTGTTGCTGTGCCTTCGCTTCGGCACATACCACACCGCACACAAAATGAGACTCTGTAGCGTATCTGTGTGTGAGACACAGCGTATCTGTGTGTGTGTGAGTGCGCATGTGGAAATGTACCTTTATATAAACGAAAACGAACGACCCGACACACTACACGAAATCCCAACTGACAAGCAGCCGCACATACACTCTCCGTCCGTCCGTCTCCCATTTGCACTCATGAGAATGAGAAACGAAACGAAACAACACACGTGTGTGTGCGCGATTGTGTTGTGCTGGTGTGTGTGTGTAGACTGTTAGTCAGCATTTGTGGCGCGACCAGGGTTGCCGTATGGCAGGAGAATTGACTCATGCGAACGGCGGTTACTACTGCGAAAGTGGGTTGCGTTGGCTGTTCGATGGGAAAGTTTTTGGGGAAACTTTGGACCTGCTATAGAGGGGGTTTCTTATAATAGCGTGAACTTATTGATATCTTATTCTAGGAGGGGTTATAATGGCCAAACAAGAAGAACTTCATCGTCAGAATGCATATTTTGGTGATTAAATCTCTCTAAATATAGTATATATCACTGATCTTTTATTGTGTGATATCTTATGTTTTTGTTGTATTACTTTTGGGAATCATTTTCAACATGTTTGGTTCCATATATCAGATAAATAAAATGATATATGTATGTTATGACAAATGTTGAAGTTTTATAAAGATTTTAAAAAATTATTTTGAAGAAAATACCATTGAAAACTCCATAGGTTTTGCATGCAGAAATGTTAGCTACATGTATTCTGCATGACATCTATTATTATACCCACCCATATCTTTCATATACTCCAATCTAAAATACCGTTATTGCATGGCCAACTACAACTATTCCAAATCCCTTCTTCTGATTGTTATCCCAATCGACTTTCAAATGCTTTGCTGGGCTAGCTATCGGCAACATCTGGCAACGCTGCGAGGTCTCTTTTTCAAATAAACACCCGCTCCCACAACTGGCGGCGGCGAGCGATGTCGGCGGACGTCAACTCAACCGTTTGCACAACGTCGTTTCAACGTTTGGTTTTTCGTTTCTGTTTCTGTTACTGGTTGCTGGTTGCTGGGGCCTTTACTTTATTCCACTGAAATATTGGTGCTGGCAATGCCGTTGCCTCGCGTTACAGCTGGCAATGCCGACGAGCATTGTATACGTAGCCCTCCCTCTGCCCGAGCTCTGCCCCTGCTCTCCAGAAACTCGTTCAGTTTCAATGCTTTTTACATAAGTGCGCGTCTAGCGTGAGAGAGAGAGCGCGAGTCCATGGTCTAGCGTCTCGCTCTGGCTGCCCTGCCTCGAAACAGGGGTGCATTTACTCGTATTCGATTCTGGGTGTGTGTGTGTGCGCGCGAGTATCTGTGTGTACGCTACAGCGTATCGTATCTGTGTGAGTGCGTGCTGGTTTGCGTTGGTTGCCTGCCTGCTGCTTGCTTCTTGAACAACGACCGACCAGTTTATTTGTGATTTTAGCACGGCAGCCAGAGGTTCACGTCGCTCTCTCGCTCCGTGTGTCCGCCAGAGCCAGAGCTCCAATACGAAAAACGACGTAAAAATCACCATCAGCAGTAGCGCGCGTAATTCAAAGTTATCATCGAAATCCCAATAGCAATTAATGGGAAAAAGTGCTCAAAATAATTATTATTAACAAATTAAATGTGTAACTAAAATACGCGATGCAAATGCAACAAATCTGAATATAAGTGAACAAAAATTGGATGCTAAAAGAACACAAGAAACATTATAAAGTTTATAACTTTGAATACATTGAAATTACCAAGAAAATGTCATCTGGTGTTCAGTGCTGTGTTGCCGCTTTGGTCCAGGCGGCAGGCTGCTTCTACTCGTACTGCTCCTGCTGTTCCTTGGGACACCTGCTGGCCGCCCTTTGAGACCGCCAAAGGATTCGCCCACTCCCAGCGACTGAAACACACACACACACACAGTTGGAAATAAACTACTACAAAAAGAACTTTAACTCCGTTCAACGTTTCCATCCATTGGATATAAACATTGTGAACTTTAACTCATCCTTGAGAACGGCCCAGCCGAAAATGTGCACAGAGGTGAGTGTCTTTTTGATGATCCACAAAGGGATCCAAGTGTATCTTGGAAGGCCATAAGGCAGATCTTAGATACTCTTTGTAACTACGTATATTTTGTGGAAATGGACAAAGACAGAAATGGGAGATATCATATAGGATTCACATAGATGAGATATTGCAAGAGATTGTATGGTATGACCTTATATGGGATATATTCACAGTGAGGTGCAAGGAGTATCATGGGTTTATTTGGGATAGTGATTGGTTTCTCGTACTTCTGAATAGTCTCTTCTCCAGATATTTGGGGAGTAAAAGTTTCTTGAATAAAGAAAGCATTCCCGTTGTCTTGTGTCTGAAGAATCCAAATTATATTACCCGACGTTAAAAATCACTTATGGGAAAATCATTCCATTCCTAATATCTGGGATTTCAATAGGACTTAGTACCAATCCCGAGTCTTGGAATTACCCAGCGCTTTGCTTCTGTCTCTGTGGAGAGCTTTATCAGCAACTTGAACTTGCCGCAAGTTCAGTTTCAGAGTTTGATAAGACCCACTACGTGTGTGCTTATGTGTGTGTGGAAGGGGACTGTTCTTCTCCTTGCAATTGGGTGAATCATTCAGGTGGCATGCCCCCACACCTGCAACAGCAACAGCAACGGTGCGATGGTGCCTTAGAAATGCGCGTAGTCGTAGCCTCAACATGTGGTTTGTGGCCACCGCCTCCTCCTCCCACTCCTCCGCTTATTGGCAGTGCGTGGGTGGCTGCCATATCGAGTGGAGTGGGTGGTGTGGTGTGGTGTGGCATGACTTGGCTAAAGGATAATGTGTGTTGCAAGCACTCTCTAGGCTATGGCTACGGTTGAGGCAACTGCAAGTTTCATTCAACATGTAAACAATGCAAAAGTTGCACGTGCAACGAGCCAGAGTCCATGCCCCCCCGCAGCGCCACGTCTTCCCTCTCTTTCTGACCAGGCATCATGCAGCACCATCTATTGGCACACATTCGCAATATGCTAAATAGCCGCTGCTTACGTCGCTGTCGCCGGCTAAGCTGCTGCGCTTAGCTCCTCAGCAGCAGCGACACCAGCAGCAGCAGCAGCAGCAGCGTCTAATGCAACAATTGGACATCGGAGCAGCAGCAGCAGCAGTACCAGCAGAGACAGCTGACTTTTGGGGCCCGTTTCGTTTAATTAATTACATGCACAAAACGCTCTTTTTCGGCTCGTTCTCTCTCCACTCTCTGCCTGGTGTGCTCTCTCCCACTCGGGGGGGTGGGGAGAAACAGCAACAAACTTTTTGGCGTCGGTCGCCCATTTCTCTGTCGCCGTCAACTGCTCTGTTTACGTTTTCTCTTTCGTTTGCGACAGCGCTGCCTCCGCATTCATTTCTTAGTTCTGAGCAGAGCAGAGCAGAGCACAGCAGAGGGGGGGAGCCGGAATAATCTATGCACCTCCATAATCAGTAGAGGGGGGCATGGATCTGTTTTGCATGGTGTATGTTTTTGGCTTGAAGTAAAGTCTGTCTCTTTGCCGTTTAATGTTTAGTTTCATATTATCCCTGTCCCCTGGTTGTCCCTCCCCAATCCTTCTCCTCTATGGTAGTCAGTGACACTTTTATCAAAGGGCATTCCCCATATTCGTCACGGCCTTCACTCCTCCCATTGTCTCTGTATCTGTATCTTTATTCCTTTTACTTTGCTCTTCTTTTTTAATTGTTCTTTATGGTTATGTGTTGCTGTTGTTGCTGTTGTTATGGTTCTGCTTGCTCTTCTTCTCCTTTTTCTTTCGTCTGGTCTGGCGGCGTCCGTTGGGGGGCATTTTTTGGGGTGGTGCAAAATTCCGGCACGAGACTTAATTCACTTAATTGAGCAGCGACGCTTACGCTGACGCAGACGGCGGCCGCAACTGCGACCGAGGAGAGGCTCGGCCGCGGTTCTGCCTTTGCAAATAGTTTGAAGTTGGCGCCGGTCCGGCAAGGGGCATGGATGGGGCACGATGCGGACCGAGAGTGTGCCGTGTGCCGTGGCCGTGCTGTGCTGTGCTGTGCCTCCTCCTTTTGTGATTTCACTTTCAGATACATTAACACAAGTGCGCCTGCCTCCGACTGCGCGCGCCTTTTGAGTTATTGGTAGCAGAGGCAGTGGCAGCAGCGGTGGCAGCAACTGCGGAAGGATGCCACAACAGCACAGAGGCGGCAGCGCGCGCTGTGTGGCAGCAGAGCAGCCTCCTTCTGTTACCCATTTTCTTTGCTCTTCGATTTTATGAATGAAAATCGCGACTTGGGCTCTGTGTTTGGTTGCAGCAGCAGCAGCCACACATTTGCATGTGCTCGTTCGTGTGGCAAGTATCCTGGGCTGCTGCGGATACGCACACATGGACACATGTCTGGTGGCCATAAAAATGAAATGCCTCAAGGGGGCACGAACCGTCCGTCGTGTATATCTGCTGTATCCTTTGTTGCTCTCCTCGGGATGGGATTGGGAGGGTATCGTCTCTCCTCGCTCTCTTAATTTGCCACGCTTCTTAACTTGTTGCTGTTGCCCCGCTCCTTCGGTCAAGTGCAACACGAATACGAAAATTGTTCAATGAAGAAAATCATAAAAAAGGGAAGCTCAAATAATGATAAGCCAAAAAGATACGAGTGAGGGAGAGGGCCTGCCTCCCATTCATCCATTATTCTGGCTCGCGCCAAATAAAGTTTTTGTTTTCATTTGTATTTCTTGTGGCATGAGGTTCTTCATTCTTCTAAAAATGTAAACAAAAGCCACACAGCAGAGCAGTGAAGAGAAGTGAAGGAAGAAGGGGGAAGGGATCGGTTCGGTTGGGATCTGGTCGCATGAGCAATTGCGGTCCGAGTCACGACTTTTGTCGCGCCATGGGAGTCGTACTCGCAGTCAGAGCCAGAGTCAGGTTGTTGTTTGAAACACAGGACGGAACTGAATGAAAGAACGGAACTACTCAAGGCAGGAGGGAGAAAAGAGGGGTGATTGGGATCAGCAGAGAGGTTTACCTGAATGAATCGAATTGGAAGAGGGAATTTGTTTTCGGTTGTAGAGTTCAGTAGTTCAGTCCCATCTCTCTATCTTTCATCCTTCCTTATATGACACACTTAAATGTGCCTATCGCAATATCGTGCTCCATTCTGTATATCCTTCCATCCATCATTCATTCATACACAGCTACGACACATCTATTCCTCTTTCTCCAGCAATCTTTTACGATAGTCGCTACAAATCTGCAATCTCTATCACGGCTTACCGGCTTACCGGCTTTCCTATCAATTATACGAACTATGACTACGCCATAAATTCTCGGCACATTTTTCAGGGCTTTCCTTAATTACTTTCGATTGGTCTGTGAAGCCAATTCGAGGGTTAAGTTCAAAGCTGATAAGAGCTGCATATCAGTATCAGGAGTGTCTGCGTATCTGGCGGGGGTTCAACAAACCTTTCATTTAAGAACTGGCACTTATCAAAGCTTAGCCAACACCCAAAACATGGCCCAGACATTGACCACAAAACGGACACACAATGCCACAGAGCAGAGATGCACATCGCAGCAAGGCATGGTTGACCGATTGAAAGACCTGCCACATTTGCCACATGAGGCGGCTTATATGGCTATGAATGAGAGAGGGGTGGGGAGGGGAGGCATCCGCGGACCTTAATGTATGCCCAAAGCACACATACACACACAGAGAGAGGGGGGGCAGGCAGAGTGGCAGCAAAGACAGCTGGCAGAAAATCTTATCAATGAATGCGCATCACTTGCACTTGTTTGCACCAGAGGTAGAGCAGCAGCAGAAGCAGCAGCAGCAGCAGAAGCAGAAGGAGGAGGTGGCTGCAACTGCAACTGCGGCGACTGTTGCTACGGGTTCGGGGAATTACCGGCTGGCTGGCTGAATGGCTCGACGACGTAAATGGTTCGACGACGGCTACGACGATGACGGCGAGGCAGCAGATGATGACGTGACTCACAGACAACAACTACGACGACGACGACGAGTACCAACCATTACACATCCACTACAGTCCACTCCACTCCACACTCCACACACAGATGCAACACGGGGACGCACGCATTAGCATTATTAAATCGCCTGCCGCAAATTTGCGGTTGCGTCACCTACTTAACACGCGGACCAGTGGTCAGTGCCAGCAGAAGTGGCAACAGTGGGTGGCAGCATCACGAGTGGGTGGGGTGGGATGGGATGGTTCGCTTGCTTAAGGATAACGAGAGCGCGAGAGCAGAGCAGAGCAGAGCAGAGCACGAGTATTTCCATTAAGCCAAATTAAAGTTATCATGCAATGTAGTAGAAAGCAGTGTGGAGCAAGCAGGGCAGCAAGCAGGGCAGCGCAAGCTCATCCTCAAGTTTTTTTTCCGCCGCTCTCCTGCTCCTGCTTGACAATCAACGAGGACAGCAGACGCATCGGAAGAGCAGAGAGGGAGAACCAGCAGCAGCAGCAGCAGAAGAGAGGAGGGAGAATAAGCAATGGTACGGATGGGCAGGGACTGTGGGTGGGAAGGACAAGCAGGCAGGCGCCTCCGCTCTTGCTCGCTTCTCGTCTGCTGCCCTTCCACCCACGTGGTGTACGTGCAATTCGAAAAGTGGTTTTACCCTCGCATATCACCCACCCAACCACCCACGACATCCCCTCTAGCCAGGCATGTTGTCAGGCAGGCAGGCAGGCATCCTGGTGGTAGGCTTTATTATGTCAGACCAAAGGGGGAGCCAGAGCGCGGAGCAGAGAGAGAAAGAGAGAGCATTTCACCCAATTTCATTATATTTGCCAACGTTTTTAGCTTTTATACGTCATACGGCATATCTCACCACACACCCGATACACCCCACCCAGAGGGGGTGGTTGGGTGGTGTAGAGAGAGAGAGAGAGAGAGAGAGAGTGTCTGTGTGGGCAGAAGAGGGTGGTACGTGTACGATGGAGAAAAGCCGGTTCCATTGCTCGGCTCTGCACTGCACACGAATCCACTGCGCAGGGTCGTGCCGAAACATCGCCACGATG